ACTTCTTCTTATGTGTTTACTTTACGTGAATCTTGTGTGAGTTGAAAGTCTCAACTCCAACATTTAGTTGCTTTATCTATCACTGAATCTAAGTATATTGTTGCTATGGAAGCTGTGGTTTAGAAGCTTGCTTAATGAACTGGATACTTTAAGGATAATGTGATAGTATACTTTGATGGGCAATCTGCTATTCATCTATGTAAAAATCCCGTGTTCATGATTGCATTAAACATATAAATATTAGACTACATTTTATGAGAGATTTAGTATTTCGAGAGTTGGTAAAATTTGAGAAACTGCATTTAGATTATAACCCTGCAAATATGGGCACTAAGGTGCTTCCCCCAATAAAGTTTAGAAGTCGTTTTACACTTCTAAATATTAGTAAAGGTATATGATATTTCAATTTTATTTGAAATCACGTTGAGCAACTATTATGCTAGTTTCTTTCTTTTTGCCGGTTTATTTGACATCAAGGTGGAGGTTTGTGGTAACTGATACCAAATAAACTCAGGGCTATGATGATAAATCGGGTTGGACTAAGTTCATAGGCCTTGTGCCAATTATTGAAGTATTTGTAGTGCTTAACCCAAAGGGGCAATTGGCAACCCATGGAACCAAGACGAACCAAGAACTCACTTGTAGCAACTAAGGGTCGACCCACCTATTACATTTGGCCCATTCGGTTTAGACCTTGGAGACAACATATATAAGTGGACTCTTCTTATTGTGGTCGGCACACAAGACTTATGTTGCCTTCTCTGCTTTTGTCTCTGACTTGCAGCTGTCTCTCCTTTTAGCCTTTGCTCTGCTGCGTTTTATTGACCACCTTTCCGGTGTTAGTTGTGGGCTGTTGTGCTATTCCGGTGGCTCTCTGTTGTGGCTCCTCTCTGCTCCGTTTTCAGCCTTTTCCCTCGCAACAGTTTTCTGTCTGTTCTTGTGAGATTCTTGGGTCCAATTGAGTGTGGTGATACCGTCTTTCTTTGGGTTGGTTAATCTGAGCCTCGATCATCCACTACGCATCTTGGAACGAGGATTTGATACGGGAAGTGTTGTTCTTGCGATTTCAATATAGTTAATTCAATTTCTAGCTTATAGCATTGATATCTAACTTGGTGTTTAATTATCTTTACTTGTAAGGAACACTATTACAACAATACCATTATAATCATGTGATGAAGCATAACTTGTGCTCAACGAACTATTGAACACTCCGAATGAATATAGAGAAGGAAAAATGTAAATGCTATTCTTGTATGACTTAAAAGATAGTCAAAACTTCAGGGGTTCTGTTTTACAAATGGCTCATAAGATGATGGATTTTTGGAAATCAGCTATTTTTCTATTCCTGATCTTTATCCTTTTCTATGTATAAACTGAACTTCTTTTTGCCTTTATATAATCAAGGAATGGTAACTGTTTAGCTGGTTCTATTTTGTAAAGATCAATCAAGGAGGAAAAACTAGCTGGCTGACGGAAATTAAGAACATTGGCTTCCTCGGCTTTTCTCTTTGAATTTGAGATAATTTAAGTCTTTGCCTCTATAACAACAAAATATTTTACTTGTCCCTCTCACTTTCCTCTGCCACCACCGCTTTTCCCTTCTGACATTAGTCTAATCGTAAGAACATTGAAATTCTCGGTGTTTGCGTTAGTTGAATATTCGAATAACTCGATCTTATCCAACTCCAACTAGAAGAAGCTTGATATAATGAAGCAAGAGCCATCGAATTTGGATATGAATCGGAATTCTTCCTTGCTTACAAGGGTTCAGATAAGTAATAAAGAAAGTCACCAGAAGGAGAGGGAGAAAAGTGTAATTCTGGAACTCATTCCAATGAATTTTTTAGATAAGTATCTTAAGCAAAAATTCTTCAAGTACAGTAAATTTTTGCCAGATTTTTGAATTCTCACTCACATGAGAGTGGGCCCGTGTATAAAATATTGAAAAAATAAAATAAAATTTCCCCACTTTTGAATGTGAGTGTTCGGTAGGTACAAGAATTTAAATCCCTGTACCTGTAGCAAGTTTCGTATCTTAAGTCACCAAAAGGCCAGGGAGAAAAGTGTAATTCTGGAACTCATTCCAATGATTAAACCCTGTCATTTCAAATTTCAGATACAAATAAAAAATGAGAAAATTTTAGAATCAGTAATTTAGGTATTATTTTTTGGGTTATACAATATATTCAATATATAAATGAGTATTTTGGTGTAATATAAAATTTCGTAATTTCACATGTAATTATGATTTTCTTCCATTATTTCATTATTATTTTATAAAAAATTCTGGAAAACGTCGGGATCCTGGGACCCAAGGCCCCCTCTCCTCTGCCAATTAAGCACCTAAAGAATGACAAGCAAAGTAGAACCTTAGAAGTGAAGAATAATAGGGAGAAGGCAAGAATGAATATAAGTCCCTGTCAGTCTATCATTATCTTAAATTTTTTTTTTC